GGCCCTATGGGCCCACAAGGACTACCAGGTCTGAAGGGGGAGCCAGGACTACCTGGACTACCTGGTAATAGCATAACTGGTGAACCAGGTCCGTTTGGCCCCATGGGCCCACCTGGATTTGCAGGCCCCCCTGGTTTAAATGGGCAACCTGGGCCACCAGGTCCACCTGGGCCACCTGGTCCGCCAGGAATATATGGTGATGGAACCATTGCTGGTCTACACTTGCCTGAAGGTGGTGTGGAAGGAGGTTCTGTTGGGAACGACAAACCTGAAAAGCCTCAGTACGGCACTGGAGAACTGTCTGCTAAAATAGCCCCTGCATTCACTGCCATCCTGACTACACCATTTCCTCCATCTGGCATGCCCATAAAATTTGAGAGGACTTTGTACAATGGTCACAATGGTTATAATCCTCTTTCTGGAATGTTTACTTGTACTGTACCTGGAATCTATTATTTTGCTTACCATGTACATGTAAAAGGCACCAACATCTGGGTTGCTTTGTATAAGAACAATGTGCCTGCTACCTACACTTATGATGAATATAAGAAAGGTTATATGGACCAAGCTTCTGGAAGTGCAGTACTAGAACTTAAAGAAAATGACCAAGTTTGGGTTCAGATGCCGTCAGATCAAGCCAATGGATTATACTCAACAGAGTACATTCATTCTTCTTTCTCTGGCTTCCTCCTCTGTCCTACATAATGGACATACATTTCCACCCTTAGTTAAAAACTATCTTTTAAAAAATTACATGCAAAACAAATGAAAACTTATCTATACATACATATATATCCACTGGGAAAAAAAGCACAGAGAAGACATGAATACTTGTTCAAGAGGTCAAACTGAAGCAAGACCTTTTTAAGTTCCTCTTCTGACAAAGTTTGCATTAAGGTCACAGAACAGACCTGCAAACTTGTGGCACAAATGGCCATACTATGCAATTTGATGTTCTTCAGCTTAGAACATAATGGAATTTTCAGATGTTCCTTAAGTATTGTGTTTTTTCTTTGTAATTTATCTGCATCTGCAACATGTGTTGATTAGTATTGTAGTTGTGAGAACACTGCACTTAGCGCAAGGAGGACAGTTCTGCCAGGTTGACCACAGTTTTTAATTTTCCACATTCTGCCTATTAAGAAATGTACACTCTTCATATTTTGGGTTTTTTTTTCTTTTTGTATTACATATGTAATGTTGTGTTTGATGGCATCGTACAAGGTATGAAAAAAGTCAGAAATACTTTGGGTCTAGGTTTCTTTAGTTCTGTACAATACAAAGATATAGAGAACATTTAACTAGGTTATCCGGTAATCTTTTTGCTTTGTGAACTAAGCAAATAAAAATGAAAAAGTGAAATGCGAGTTCTACTGTGAAACATTTGGCCCAGGGTAGAGCCTTTAATAATTTCTATTATTAAGATTATTCAGATGTAATGCTATCTTCAGAGCAGACATGCTCAAACGTCTATGGAAGAAACAGTGGACCCTCAATTAACACAGTCCTGTTAATTCCTTATGCTGGCAAACTAATTGTTAGCAAATGAAAAGTTGACCTGAAATCATAGAATTTAAACAGTTATGGATTACAAGCTCTATTCAGCACCAGCAGCTTGTTGACTCACATGGCACTTTGCAGTAAAGAACTAAACCAGGGGTGTCCAAACTATGGCCCTCCAGCTGTTGAAGTAAGAAAAGTCCCATCATGCCTCTGCCTCTGGGTGTCTGGCCTGGGGATGTCAGAGTCTTGCAAGGCCTCATGGGACTTGCAGTTCCTCAACACCTTGAGGGCCATAGTTTGGACACCCCTGAACTAAACATTCGGTTTTTGCAAAGGCCAATATGAACAAGGTTTTGAAAAATCTGATTACTATTAAAAGACACATTCAGTTGTATACAGTGTTACATTGGCATTTATGTGCTTGACTATTTTGATTAGTCAATCTTTGTATTTTTATTAGTTGATGGTGAACGGTTTTAGAATTTGTTCCTTGTAGAATTTCGCCCAATGAACAGTTTGTGTTGAATTTGAAAGCAATGAAAATGTGAAACTTTGGTGGGGCAAAGTGTCTTGTCTGGTATAAGGATTTTCTGAGAGATAGGAGACAAGAATGGTAATAGAGCAATGTAATTAGAATACAAGCAGTACAAACTGATCAACTTCTTAAAGGCTAAGTTCACCTTTTTTTTTTCTAAAATCCAGCTCCCCTATGCATTAATGTACTATTAATGTACCTCAGTTGCAAATATATACAAGCTCTCTTTGATCTGGAGAACAAGGCCTTACCTTAACCTTTGGTAAATTTCTTAGAAAGCTTTTTAAAATCCTGGAATGTAGACAAAGGACAGAGGAGCATCTCTCCTCACGTGCATTTACCTGGCTACCAGAGCGTCTCTACAGACATGATTGGCTAGATGGTGTGTCCTCCTCTAATATAGTTTTGGTAAATCTAAGGCTAGGTTCACACCTATGCAGGTTGCGTTCGAGCCGATTCTGCATTGCGTTTTCCATTTTTGCACTTGCGTTTTGATGCATTTTGCATCTTTTTCTTTTTTTCTTTTTCTTGTTGCTAGGTAGATTTAAAACGCAAAACACATCAAAAAACGCAGAAAAAAAACGCAGCAAAACTGCAATACATGCTTTTCTGCAGAGTTTCCATTGACGTCTATAGAACCAAAAACCAACTTTTTGCATCCAAAAAAGTCCCTGAGTCTTTCCAAAAAACACACCAGGTGAAAATGCACAGGTGTGAACATGTCTCATAGGAAATCATGTTAAATGGACTGCACTGCGTTTCTGCAAAACGCTGCAGAAAACAATTAGGTGTGAACCTAGGTTAAAGGAGATTGTACAATCAGATTGTATAGTGTATGACCACATGTATACTCCTAAAATTACCTATTTGCACTTTCAGTGTCATTAATTGGTAACGGCACACCAAACACAGAAACAAGCACACATTTTGCCACATGAAAAAACAGGTGACAAGTGCAGCAAATAATGCAACACACACCACTCCAAAATGTCTCATGAGCTACTTTGCCACGTGTAGCACAGCCCAGTGAAATCAACGGTCTACCCTATCTGTGTCACTGGAAAAACAAGCCAAAAAACATGCGCTCCCTCCACTCGCAATGTGAATGGGGCCTGAAAGTGAAATTGATGCGTTTACATAAGAACAATGAGGCTTCATTCACATCTGTGTGTTTCCGAATACATGGCAAACGGCACAGAAAATATATGCTTTGCCATAGGTTTCAGAAACACGTTGCAAATATGCATCGTGTTTAAGTTGTCATATCATGTTAAAAGCACCCCAAATGCGGTAAAACACACCAAAAACTGCGGTAACGCATTGTGCTCCACTCAACAAAAAGTGTGTGGGGTTTTTCTGGGACGATTGTTGCGAGTGTGGTTCGAGTGAATGGGCTGTACTATGCATGACGAGTGAAAATGCTCCAAAACACCCAAAACAAACGCATGCGGGAATGTGAGTCTTCACTACGTGGAGGTGTGAACAGTGCCTGACAACTGAGTGTCTCCGTCCACTCCCTCCTACGAGGGCCATACACTATGCAATCTGATTGTACATCTCTGTAAGAGTTCCTTTACATTTACCAGAACTATGGAATAGGAGGACAGACCTGAACTGAACAATCTATTCAATGTGTATTAAATCAGACAGGCCCTTGTACTACATAGCTGATGGGAGGAAGGTAGTATTGTAATGAGGGAGGTGTGGTCCAGAGTGGTGAACACTATGAACCCTATCATGCCCTCTACTGTGATGCAACAAGGAAGTGAAGGCTTCTGGGAGGTGGCCTACAGGAAGTGAACGCTGAGAAATCATCTAGGAAATAAGACAATCTGAAAATCTGTTCAAACATTCAAATAAACTGACAAAAAGTAAACCTCCCGTGGAAGTGAGAGAAAAGCACATTGGGATGGCTGGGCCAGATATGGCATTGGAAAACATTTCTTTATATTATGAAAAGTGAAATTCTGCCTGAAAAGGTGAACTTATCCTTTAATATGGAAAACCTGTTTAGAAACAAATATTATTTAGGCCTTGGACACACTTGTGTCATTTTCCAGTAGGACAAACCTTGTTATGATATGGAACCTGCAACCCACAGGGGAAATGACTCAAATCAATAGAGGCAAGTTACATCTCTGCACTCCAGCATTTGTAATTCAGTTTTTTGGCAGTATCAAGAGTTTTTAATCGTGATTTCTTGCATTTTTCCTCCTGCAAATTTCTTTTCCCCTATGTAAAGGCTTTGATATTTCTGCTGTTGGGATAAACACAATAATATATTTGATACATGTATGCTGCATGTTTCCATTTTTTCCTATGGGCATGAATATGCATTAATTGTATACTGTAGGGTTGAATTCACTTATAGAATAATCCATTGAAGTTTTGTTCATCTATTTTTTTGTATTCAACAAAGTGCAACCAAGTTACAGTCATTTTTGACTTCCAAGAAACTCAGAATACGTGAAGGGTAGAGTAAAACGTGGGCAAAACTGTACCCCAGAAATGATAAGGTAACACCCACTTTAGTTCATTGAATAGTATTTTAACCTGCAGGCCTCCTTTACTGGATCAAGCAGTTCTATTTCTATAGCAAATCAGCAAAACATTTTTTGATATACTGAATAAAAAAAAAAAAACTATTTGCAATCAGTATGGTTAGAATATTTTATGTTAGAACAATAACTCTGGTATTATGCCAATCTATTTACTTAACTGCTACCCAGATATACTGCTACAGGGCGGCACAGGTGCACAAGTCACTTATATATATGTGATTTTGCATTTCCGGGTAGGGGGCATGCGCCCCCTACCCGCGCCGCCGCTCACGACTGCAGCTATCAATCACCGGGTCCCGCCTGGTGATTACTTGCCGGGCATCGGCAAGTAAAGCAGTGTGTTTACAGTGAAGCACACGGACACAGCTTACAGTAAAACATCACACAGTTAACCCTTTGAGCGCCCCTCATGTTAACCCCTTCCTGCCCAGTGCCATTAGTACAGTGTCAGTGCTTTTTTTTTAGCACTGATTACTGTATTGGTGTCACTGGGGATGTCAGTGACATCAAGTCAGTTCTCCCCAGTGTCACAATGCCCATCGCAGTCCCGCTATAAAACGCTGATCGCCACCATTCCTAGTAAAAATAAAAAATTCCAATATCTATACCGCCATTTGTAAATGCTATAACTTCCATGCAAAGTTAAAATATAAAGTGCTTGTGAGCTACTATGGTGAGAAATGAAAGTGCATAAATAATTAATTAATTAAATCTAATTAAAAGAATCGTGGTTCACAGACACTGAACACTTACTCATATAATAGTGTATATAAATTAACTGAATATTAATATACTGTGCCGCGCTCCACTACATAAATAGAGCGGCATATTTCATGTAAAGTTAATTTCCACGTATTAACATTTTGGCCTAAATTTATGATGAAATTTGATTTTTTTTATATTTTTTACTTGACATGTTTAATAGAAAAAAGTCAAAAACTATTTTTTTTCCTCTAAATTGTTGATCTTTTTTTTTTCTTTATAGCGCAAAAAATTAAAAATGCACAGGCAATCAAGTACCACCAAAAGAAATCTCAGTTTGTGGGAAGAAAAGGATGTACATTTAATTTGGGTGCAGCATTGCATGACCGCGCAATTGTCAGTTAAAGTAACGCAGCATCGTAACGCAAAAAATGGCTTGGTCAGGAAGGGGGTAAATCCTCTGGAGGGCAAGTGCTTAAAGAACTAAATTAATAATATCCTTGCTGCCGATAGGCAGGGACAGTCTACCTGGAAGTCTTGCTGATCAGCTATTTTAACAATGATGGCAACTTTTTTAAGCTTTGGAAAGAAGGATAGAGGAATTAGGACACCTGTAAGGTCTTGATTGCTGTCTGTGGATTTGTGAAATTAAATCCTGAATTTTGATTTGTCCCCAGAACAGTAATAGAAGGGAAACTTTCCATTATGGACACTAGTTCTGGTGACCCTGGTGACATTCCCTTGCTTTGGAAGGATTTCCTTTCACTTCTTGTTTTAGCTATGAGACAGAAAGTGAAGGGAAATCAACCCAGTTGGACATGAATGGCAGAAAAAAAAAACCTGAAAGGGGTTGTAAACCATCCCTACTCTATCCAAAATGAAAAACAAAATGTTTAGGTTAGTTTTACTTTAAAGTGTTACTAAACCCAGGATCCTGCATTATATCTGGTCTTCCACACAAAACATGGAAGTGCAATTGTTTTAGTAAATATAAACTGCTAAATACCTTTTCTCATCAACAGTTTGAGCAGTCTTGTGACTTCTATCAGTGTCCAGCTGAGCACTGGTTAATGCTTGTAGGAGGAGTTTTCATTCTGCTCTAGGAACATGCAGGACCCCTGACACTCTGCCTGGACAGTGCTGGTTGGCCCTGTGCTGATCACAAGAACTCTCCCAAGAAAAAAAAAACTCTTTAGCAATACACACACAACTGAGCATGTGCAGAGTGACTCCACATGATATGTCTTATCAGGAGATAAGAGGGGGACATTGGAAGAAGGGGAGGATCAGAGAAGTCAGGATCAAACAGCATTTTTACACAATGCAGAGGAATAACCCCTTAGGTTCCACAGTGAGCATGCTTTACTGCATATACAGACTGGTTTAACACTTTAAGTCACTCCATTGCTATCACTCTTGGAAGCTATTTGGCTTTCTTCAGCTACCCTCAGAAAACAGCATGGCTGAAAGTTGGTGACCTTGCAGTTGCACAGCAGAGCTTAAAAACCAGCTAAAAAGGGGGGGGGGGGGGAAGCACAAATATATTATCTGTTTGAGGTCACCTGACACCTGAGTACACTCCAGTTTTCTTTTCCTTTTTTGCTTTAGTAAACCAGCTGATCAATGGGAGTTCCAATTAGGATACCACTGCCCACCAGTAGCTGAGGATCAAGTATAAAAAATGTCTATATTTATCCTGAAAAAAAAGCTAAAAAATTTAAAGTTTTTACTAAACATTGATTAATTTAATATACAAATCACATTTGCTGGTACAATCAATAGTTTCATGTACATATTTTCTTGACAGTTGTTTATTGAGGTTGACCAGCTTTCACATTTGTTGTTTTCTGAGGTACCTGGCCTAGTCTATAAAGTCACTTTGTGATTTACATATTGTGGCACAGTCTTTTTTTTTTACAAAGTCATTCGCAGAAAACATGGCTTTCATGACAATCAACTGTATGGAAACTATTAATTACAAATCGTGTAAGACATTTGGAGCCTACTTGACTAACTTTATGTGAACACTATTATATTTTGCACCATGATAGAATCAAGAATGTTGTACAATGCATTCTCAATTATTGGGCACAAAAGGTTTTAGCAGATGTATGTCTCATGTAATTTGTTTAGTAATTCCAATGTATGATGTTTATGTTATTTTATTTTTCTTGAGTGGGTGGGGCGGGATCGTTTAATGTTTCTTTTCACCATTCAGTGCCTTTTTTAATAAAATACTGTTTATTGTATTCTTTTTTTTACTCAATTGTTTGAAATGGTGCTATACCCTACTTACCAATGTAGCTATATTCATATAGTGCAAAATAATCTCATTCTTGACAGTGGTTTTAAAGCTATCATTCCTGTCTGGTCCTGCTAATATCATTGAATTTGTATTGATTGTGCTTGAATTGTATTGGTGTAATGACATTTGTTAAATTTGCATCTAATATTAACCATGTCACTGCAGGTACAGGCTGTGAATATGCCATGGTCACAAGTCCGTAAAAGCCTCTAATGACTCTGGTGGTGTTCATATAATGTGTTTCCATATAGTGTGCAGACACAGTGCCGCAAAGAGCATCTAAAACAGATTAAAGGGAATAATTAATTTTCCCCTGATCTAATGTAGAACAATTTGCATACAAATCATCATTGTTTCTGGTTCTAGAGAGGATTGTGGCAATGGCAAGCAGTGCTTGAGAGCCCAAGCTTCATTTAGCCAGGCCACAGTCTCAAGTTGTTTCTTGGAGACTCTTCACCAAGTTAAATTTGGCTAAACTACTCCACTAATAAAATTCCTAGACATTCTTACATATTTATTTACAAATCTGTCTCAAGTGTGGTTAATGAAGGATAAAAAATGTATGCTGGTAAAAACTCCTAAGTGAACCAGTGCCCAGATTATGCATACTAAATATTTACATATTCCTAACAAACAGTGAAAAGAATCTTAAACTTTAAAACAAGCCCTGTAGTTATAGGCATTGATGATAAATAAATCTTTAACCGCTTTCCCGCTGCCCTATATTAGAACTACTGCTACAGGGTGGAAGGGCTACGCAAAATCACGTGTATATATATATCTATATATATATATATATATATGGGGGGCGTGCGCACCCCTACCCGCGCCTCCATTGGCGACTAGGGATGTCAATCACCAAGTCCTGGCCAGAGATTCCCCACCGGCACCCGGCGATCACTGTGTAAAGTTGACAGGGTGAGACACCAGGGACGGACTGACAACTCATGGGGCCCCTGGGCAATAGGGGATCATGGGGCCCCTGTGCCCTTGCCCAATCTCACAATAGCCAGGTACCAGGGGCATCTCATGGGCCCCCTACTGACCCCGGGCCCTTGGGCTGTGCCCGAGTTTCCAAATGGTCAGTCTGCCCCTGAGCAACACAGGTCTCGCTCGTGCCAGCAAGGACATGCTGCTTTGTATTTTCTGCACAGCAGACAAATACAAAGCAGCATGTTTTCCTAGTAAAACACACACAGCACATCATGTAAAACTTTGATTGCCATAGATGTTAACCCCTTCCTGCCCAGTGTCTTTAGTACAGTGTCAGTACTTTTTATTAGCACTGATCACTGTATTATTGTCATTGTGATGTCCGTGGCAGTTAGTCAGTTCCTACCTAGTGTCAGGATGCACGCCACAGTCCCGCAGTCTGCTATAAGTCGCTGATCGCCACCATTACTAGTATAAAACAAAATAAAAAATAAAAATTCCATTATATATACCGCCATTTGTAAACGCTATAACTTTCACATAAACCAAATAATTTACACGTTTTGGGAATTGTTTTCAGCAAAGACATGTAACAGAATACATTTTGGCCTAAATTTATGATGAAAGAAATTTGTTTTTTTTTTTACTGCATATGTTTTATTGCAAAAAGTCAATAGTATTGGGTTTTTTTTTCAAAATTGTCAGTATTCTTTTGTTTATAGTGCAAAAAATTAAAAAAGCACAGGTGATCAAATACCACTGAAAGAAAGCTCTATTTATGGCGAAAAAAAGGACATACATTTCATTTATGTACAGCGTTGCATGACCGCGCAATTCTCAGTTAAAATAATGCAGCACTGTATTGCAAAAAATGGCCTGGTCAGGAAGGGGGGGTAAATCCTCTGGAGGGCAAGTGGTTAACATTTACAAAAGAGGCACTGAAATATCAGCTACTTTCTCTAATGGAGAACAAAATCTTGAAAGCCTGCCAGCCCTATAATGTAAACAAACAGCAGGTGCTTTAACCCTTTCGCTGCCAGGTCTGTACATCATACGGACCTGACAACGGGGCATTTTACACACAATCCAGTGGCTACAGCCACTGGGATTGTGTCTAAAACTGACAGACAGACTCCTACCTGTCAGGTGGAATCAGTCAGGTAGCTGTGCTGCTGCCTGATTACTTCTACAGTCCTTTGTAATGATGCCCCTGGCCACGCACACACTCCCACTCCCACTATGTACAGGTGAAACTCAAAAAATTAGAATATCGTGCAAAAGTTCATTTATTTCAGTAATGCAACTTAAAAGGTGAAACTAATATATGAGATAGACTCATTACATGCAAAGCAAGATAGTTCAAGCCGTGATTTGTCATAATTGTGACGATTATGGCTTACAGCTCATGAAAACCCCAAATCCACAATCTCAGAAAATTAGAATATTGTGAAAAGGTGCAATATTCTAGGCTCAAAGTGTCCCACTCTAATCAGATAATTAAGCCATAACACCTGCAAATTGTTCCTGAGCCTTTAAATGATCTCTCAGTCTGGTTCAGTAGGAATCACAATCATGGGAAAGACTGCTGACCTGACAGTTGTGCAGAAAACCATCATTGACACCC